GTAGGGAAACTCAGGAGTGTAATGCTGAACCCTGCATCCTCCTTCACGGTGCCTGTCTGCCACATATTTCAGAAGTTACTGAAAGCTCTGTCTCCCTCTTCGAAGGTGCTTGGGGTCTCACTCAGCAACCAGCTGTAACTCTTCATTGCTTTTGCTCAAAGATTTACACAAGAGGTGACTAATTAGTCTCGCTGCCTAGCATCTTGGTCTTTCACATCTCAAGCAGCTGCCTGAAGCAGTGGCTGTAGAGTGACTCTCTCCTGTTGGAGCCTTGGAGCCAATCCCTTTTTGGGTGGGCAGAAAAAAGGAGAGAAAGAAAAAAATGGCTCTACAATACAGCAGGAGGCTTGAATATAAGTTCTTTTTTCAAATCATCATCTTTTTCTGAAGTTTCTTCCAAAACTTCCCATTATCTCTATTTCAAAGTTTCATTGCAGTGGGCCATCACATAAAGTCCACTGTCCCCAAACTCTGAGTGCTTTTAGCTCAATATGAAGCCTTCCTGCGGTGCCAGACAACAAAACTGCCCTCCCCAAGACCTTGACTCTTTCCATGTAACAACAACCCAGTGCTTATAGCTCTTACCATGCTCATTACGTGTCTCACATTACATCTTACATTTCCCTCCTCACCTGAATACCCAGTCACACCAGCAAAAAACTTCTGTTGCTGGAAAAAGAAGAAAAAAGGGATGTTGTTACATGCATTTGTGAGATCTTGGTCAGCTAAAGCAAAAACCACAGAGTGCCTCTGTGAACAGGGGAGGATCAAGCCAGCTACCCAGGTAGCACCAGCGCCAAAGGTCTGCAGCACAGATGTTCATGTGGTGATCTTAGTTTTTTTACAGCATCCCTGTAAAGTTTCCTCTGCCTCCTGTGTGAAAGCTAGCAAAGTTCCCGGTGACTTAGCTCCAAGAGCAATGGCCACGTGTTGCACAGTTAGCCTGAAATGAAATGGCAACGACGAAGGACCTGCGTCTGCCACTTTTACTCAGGAGGAGTAATACTATACTCCCTGCGTAAGGCCACCAAAACAAATGCCTCCCAGCACAAAAGGGATGAGTCCAATGCTTGAATTTACACATACTCTGAAGCAATAGATTTGTGGCAAAGCAGTCATCTGTTTTAGTCATTACGAAGACAAATTGTGTATTTAAGAAAGGAGATAACTCTTTCTTCAGCCCTGCTTAGAGTCTTCACTCCTATCCTGTAATTAAATTCTTTTTGGTGGAAAGTCTCAAAATACTAATTTTTAATTAGAGCTAAAAGGAACCTCAATATGTATTGTGAATATTTTACTTACTTTTAAAAAGGAATCATGTTTATTAAAATACATGAAAAACAGTAAGTCAAGCAGTAAATTCTATTTTAAAATGCACTAGTTTCAATAAAACAGCCAACCTGGACAGCATTTAACAGTACAGTTAAGTTCAGGATTTTAATTTCAACAGTGTTCTGGTTACAAAATTACATTGTACAAAGTGTCTTGACTTTATGAAAATAAAAGTGGCCCAGATTAATAATACATTATTTAAAATCTAAAATTCTTGTTAAAAAAATAAAAAACCTTCTTCACTTTGATCATGAGTGTTTTTCACTCTACAGAAACCACATGGCTCTGAGTTTCTGAAACATTATCTGCGTGTTTCATCTTATCCCAAGACTTTCAACAGACTTTTTAGTTCTTTTTTTCTGAGAAGTACATAATCATGTATCTGATGGAGCTTGAAAAAAGTTTCAGGTTAGACACATGATTAAGTACTTGAAGCTCCTTGGAGGCCATCATCAGGGGAAAAATTTTTCAAGTGTTAACACTTAGAACTTATAACATATTAACATATTAACATATTTACAATTTAAAAAAAAAGAAAGAACAACTATTGCTGAACACTTATATTTATTTATAAGAGAATAAAACATTGTATCAGCAAAAAAAAAAAAAAAAAATTTTTAATGGGATACCTATTTAATAGTTAGTTCTTGCATAGACCTATAGGGTATTTGTTTAATTCCATCCCTCATTCCCCCAGTCTTGTCAGATCTAATTCACTGAAGTTTGTGGGAATCTTGTCACACACTTCAATTGACTTCGGATGGGACATTTTATACTACAGCATCTGTAGAATAAATTGGACTCCAGAAATGCACTAATCAAAATGTATACGGCTTTTGTCTTATATACCTGCAACAAAACTGAACTTCATGAACTTCATACAGAGGTGGTTGAATTTTTGAATCATAAATCTATGTTTTGCTGAGAAACACTGATTTGTTAAAGCTGAATTCTTTCATAGACCTGTATTGCTTTTGGCGACTCTTTCAGCAAAACATTTTTTGCTTGACTCAAAACATGTGTTGACCATTTTGCTCTGGATTTGACCATTTTGTTTCAGATTTGCTCTCTTATTTTGACTTTGTTTCATGCACCTTTGTTGATTCTCTTCGATTATGCCACTTTGGTTTAGCATTATGATTTCATTTTAGCTGGAGATTGGAAAATTCCAGTTCTGAGACAGCATTGCCCTAAGTGTTCATCATGAAAGCAGTCCAATACAGCCCCATCACGAGTGTATCCAAGTCAACCACTCTTGTGACTGAGGGC